CTTGAATATCTCCAGAGGAGACTCCACAACCTCCCTGGGCAGCCTGTTCCAGGGCTCCGTCACCCTCAGAGGGAAGAAGTTCTTCCTCATGTTCAGACGGAACTTCCTCTGCTTCAGTTTGTGCCCATTGCCCTTGTCCTGTCGCTGGGCACCACTGAAAAGAGCTTGGCCCCAAATACTACTTCACATCTTGCAGGACGTAGCTGCAGGGGGGTGGGACACAGAGGGGCTTTGCCAAGCGTTCCTTTTTTTCCCCACCTAAAAAAAGAAATCCCACATGCTGTGCTCTGCTTGTGGAGGAGTAGATGCGAGAAGCACTCTGCCCAGGGAGAGGGAGACCACGGGCAGAGTTTGGGGTGGTAATGGAAAAAGCGCATTGCCTGGCTTCGTGCTGGCTCTTGGAAACCTCGCTGGCTAGGAAAGCAATGTTGCTTCATCCCAGAGTGGCACAGCACAACTGGGACCTGGACTTTACACATGCTGTGCTCTGCTTGTGGAGGAGTAGATGCGAGAAGCACTCTGCCCAGGGAGAGGGAGACCACGGGCAGAGTTTGGGGTGGTAATGGAAAAAGCGCATTGCCTGGCTTCGTGCTGGCTCTTGGAAACCTCGCTGGCTAGGAAAGCAATGTTGCTTCATCCCAGAGTGGCACAGCACAACTGGGACCTGGACTTTATCTCCAAACCTCCTCACAAGCTGGCACAGGGCTTGAAACAAATGCACAAACCCAGCGGTGGCCGTGATGCTGCAGGGACAGGCGGCTGTGTCACAGCTGTGGCCACCGCAGCAGCCACCGAAGGTTTTCCATCCCACCCGAGGACCTGGCTGATACCCAGAGGTGTAAACAGCTGGAAACAAGGCATCATCTCCAGATGTAGTCTCCTAACCTGCTGAAGGGGCCATAAGACAGACTTGTGGGTCTGAGAAAATGACCCCGGAGCATCTCCAGGGTGGGGAGCAGTGCCTGCCCGGTACTCAGACCCAACACGGTTTGCAAGGACTCTCCTAATTGTCTTTTCTAGGGGGCCTGGTAGGAAGGTTTCCTCCATCCACTCAAGGATCAGGCAATGCTTTGTCCCATCTCCACACCTGCCTTTGCTTCCTGCGGGCCAGACAACCACCAGCAGCTTCAGAGGCCACCTCTGCACCCCTTCACTTCGCACTGCAGAGAGGTAACGGGCTGTTTTCTAAACCCTGTGTAAAGTGTTTTACAGCCTAACATAAATGTAACCTCCTGGACGCAGGCAGGCTCCTGGCAGACCGACTTCCAAAGACAAACTGCCCCTTTTCTCCATCTGATGGATGAGGAAGCCCAGGCACACACCTGCAGCCGCTCACCAAGGGCCACAGAGGCAGCTCCAGGGGTCAAATTTGAACCTCCAAGCATGTGACCTCCCCATCCACCTCTGAACATCTCACAGACCTTACGTGGAGGGAGGGTCTCCTCTCAGGCATCAAAGGCGTTCCTTTCTCCTGCAGCCAGTTGGGAAGTGTTCACACGGACCATGGAAACATCTCAACGCGTGCAGGATTTCACCCTTCGCCCTGGCGCAGTCCCCACACATGGTCCCCTGTGGGCACCAGCAGGACTTTGATGGCCAAAGCAGCATTTTCAGAAGTGGGTCCCTAGGCTTTCCAAGAGCTCAAACCACTGACTGCGTCTCGTTTTGTGTTTACACCTCCACGCTTTCCTCGCTGCCACCGCACAAGAAACCCAGAGCAACGCATTTATCATCCAGCTTAGCTCGGTCCTCCGAGACTCACCACCCCCAAGGCCATCAGGGCCCTGATTGCGCCGCACACCCTTGACCGGGTCACCTCCACCTCCCTGCCACCACTGTGAGGACATCTCAGTTCAGACAGGCAGAGAGCTGCAGTTCCCAGCAGCCAAGACAAAGCATGAAATGCATGGGACAAAGCACCTTTACCAGGACGCTGGTGACATCCCTCCACCCTTGAAGGTGAAGGGCACCCTGCACGCCCATGGAGGGCACCGTATCTTTTTGCCACTGCTCACCACATGCCCCTTACCAGCGGGCACGGAGGGATAGGTGACTTGGCCAAGGTCGTAGCTGAGCTCCACCAAGTGAACGTCAGCCTCCAAAATCCTACGCTGTAGCCATAACCCCCCCAGCATCCCCTCCACACATCAACTGGGAGCACCCATTGCTCTACAGCCCTGCGTAGCGTATGGAGACAGAAACACCACCGAGCAGCTGAAGCCTCCTGGAAAACGGAGAACACTCGAAACACGACCTCCAGCAACGCCACCTCCAGCTCCCCTGCACGGCAGAAACCAGGTTTCCTCGGCTGGGAAAGCAGCGACGAGCACCGGGGATGGCACGAGCCATCACGAGCAGCCAGAGAAAGGAGAAGTTTGTAACAGGAAGAGCAACGTGAGGATTATTCAGAGGCACAAGACGCTCGCTGTCTGTTTGCTCTGAAACAAGATGCTGGGATGGGAAAGGAAGCGCCAAGGCAGCAAGCAGAGCAGGAGCTGCTGCAAAACTGCTGCAGGCAGGGGCAGAATTGGGCCTCTTCAGGTATTATTACATTTTTTTGGTTATGCTGTGAGGCCACCTCACCACTGCTTTGGCTTTTCCCCTCTCATGTCCAGCCTTTTCTCAATGCAGCCAGAAGTCCAAATCCTACAGAGCATCACCATGACTCGGGTAGGGATTTCTGTAGGGTGGGAAAGGGATGTGTCTGCACGGGACAAGCTGAGCGGGGACCATATAGGAATCACAGAATCACAGAATGGTAGGGGTTGGAAGCGACCTCTGTGGGTCATCTAGTCCAACCCTCCT